AAATACAAGGGGTATCTTAGTGAGGACTTTTCTCGTGCAACATCTGACGCAGCTGCTGAACAGATGACTCTCAGAGAGCTTGAATTCCAGCTGAGAGAAAATCGCCTCAGTTGCCACCATTATGGACTTCCTGCACCCCTAACCCCACTTCTTGATTCAGGAGAGGATCACCTTGATGTTAATGCAGAGCTGCAAATTGGGACAGAAATGTATAGGTCCCTTACACCAGATCAAAAGTCAATTGTTGACACAATTGTTGATTCCCTCAATGTAAATCCACGTTGCTTTTTTATTGATGGGCCTGGTGGTACGGGCAAGACTTATGTTTATAACACCCTAATTCATTGTGTTAGAGCCGTTGGAAAAATTGTCATTCCGCTGGCCTCCACTGGAATAGCGGCTACCCTTTTGTCAGGTGGCCAGACTGTCCATTCCAGGTTTAAGCTGCCGATTCCCTTGCTTGAGAATTCTGTAGCTGCGATCTCGGCCAATAGTTCTGAGGCTGAGCTTATTCGTAGATCATCCTTAATTATTTGGGATGAGGTTCCTATGGCCCACTACAGAGCACTTAAAATTGTGGATCGTCTCCTAAAGGACATTATGCATTGTGACCTTGCTTTTGGCGGAAAGGTTGTTGTTCTTGGAGGTGACTTTCGCCAAGTGCTACCTGTGGTACCTCGAGCTTCAAGAGCTGAAATTGTTGCTGCTTGCATTAAGCAAAGCAAGCTATGGCCATTGTTTGTGATCTTGCGCCTTACTCAGAATATGCGAGCAGGTATTGATGCACAGAGCTTCTCTCAATGGTTACTTAAAGTTGGTGATGGTGATCTACCTACAGACCAACAGGGCCTCATTTCTCTTCCAGAAAGCTGTATCTTTCATGGGGTTGACCTGGTGCAGGAAATATTTGGTTCTTCCTATGGTGATATTACCGCCCTTAGCCAGTCTGTGATTTTAACGCCAAAAAACACAGATTCATTAGAGATTAATGAAAAAGTTTTGGATCGCTTACCAAACAGGAGTCAGTGTTTTCTCAGTGTTGACAGTGTCGAGTGTGAGAATGTGGAGGAACAAAATAACTACCCTACTGAATTCCTTAATAGCCTTACTCCCACAGGAATGCCTCCACACCGGTTAAACCTTAAGATTGGTGCTATTGTTATGCTCCTTAGAAATTTGAATCCTAAGCAGGGTCTCTGCAATGGCACACGTATGGTTATCCAGCGCATGCGCTCTCATGTCCTAGAAGCTCAAATACTGACAGGGACCAAAGTTGGACAAACTGTATTGGTGCCAAAAATATCTTTGGCTCCTTCAGATACCAACCTTCCCTTCATTCTGAAGAGGCGTCAGTTTCCACTAAGGTTGGCTTTTGCCATGACTATTAATAAGGCTCAAGGCCAAACCTTTGCTAGAGTGGGTCTCTTGCTACATGAGCCCGTGTTTACTCATGGACAGCTCTATGTGGCTTTTTCACGTGTGCGAACTTTGAATAGCATACGGGTAAAGTTGAACCCACGTATTTATAAAACTAGAAATATAGTTTTTAATGAGGTCCTTTAAATGAATTTTTCCTTTTTATGTTGTCTTATCTGCTATATAGTTGTGTTGTATTCAATTTTATTTTCAGATTTGTTTTCTTTTAATTTTTTTTTTTCATTTCAAATAAATGAATGTATGCCTTTTATGTTGTCTAATTTGGTATATTGTTGTGTTGTATTTAATTTTCTTTTAAGATTTGTTTTCTTTTACTTTTTGTTTCATTTCCAAAAAATTTGTTTAAAGTTTCACCAATGCCTATAAACAAAAGGTAATAAGACCAAATCCAAATAAATAAATAGTGTGTGACGTTTCGGTAACAGCGTTGTTACCATCTTCAGACAAAAGTACTATGGCCTACGGCCATACCACGTTGAAAACACCGGTTCTCGTCCGATCACCGAAGTTAAGCAACGTCGGGCTCGGTCAGTACTTGGGAGGGTGACCACCTGGGAACACCGGGTGCTGTAGGCTCCTTTTTTCCATTCAGTACTTTTGTCTGAAGATGGTAACAACGCTGTTACCGAAACATCACACACTATTTATATATTTGGATTTGGTCTTATTACCTTTTGTTTATAATCTACAATCCAAATTGTGCCTCATCAACCAATGCCTATAGTTTCTCACACCTCCCATGCTTACCCCTCTGTAACTGGCCTGTGGTGCAGTGGACATTGTTGGGAGGTACAGTAAACTCTCTACACGATTGTATCAAGTCTTGTTCTGGTAGACTTGATGCTGTAACCAGGAGGGACACTCCCTCTTTAAAAATCCTGAGTTCAACTGACCCAGTTGATGGACCTCAGCAATGGTTCCACTCCAGGGATACGGAGGAGCTGCGTCTGTGCTCATGTTAGAGTCAGAAACAAAGGCTTCCATATTTGGAATGGCCTCAAATCACAGGCAAAGTCAGACTTTCACCAAAGTGTGCCTGGATCATGGTGCCATGATCAACGAAAGCTGCACCCCTATACCCCATTCCATGAGATCATGGAATTCGTGTAATCTTTACACAAGGGGATAAGAAACATCAACAACATAGTTTCTCACCTGAAAGGATTTTTTTGTATTAGTTGTTCACTAATAAAATATTTATAATTAAGTATTTTGATTTTTGGTCTTTATTTACCTATTTTCCCCAGTGCTCTATACATTGATTCAGGATCTATGCAATGTCTCACATATGGTTATCTAGCGCTTCACATGTTTTTAGGCTAAACCCGGGGCGTTGCCGGGTCACTCGGCTAGAAATAATGGCTGTATTTGCTATATAGTTGTGTTGTATTGAATTTTCTTTTAATATTTGTTTTCTTTTTTTTTTTTCAATATAATTTTTTAAAGTTTTCACCAATGCCTATAGTTTCTCACCTGAAAGCAATTTTTTTGTATTATTTGTTCATTCATAAAATATTTATTATTATTTTGACTTTTGGTCGGTGGAAGGCTGGGTAAACCGTTTGGTTTTCGACCACTAGGACCCGGGTTCGATTCCCGCATTGGGCACTTTTTTCTGTTTAAAAAAAAAAAAATGCTCCAATGGCCCCCGATTCTTGCAAAAGTCCAACCCCACCAGCGAGTGCAAGTAACCGAACGGGGCTCTGGCATTTGTAAGTGCAAAGTCAAACTGCTTTTCACATGTGTAGACATGTGGTGCGCTTACAGTAAAAGTAGTCGCTAACTACCCACCATGATTATCATGGCCTGTACCACGTGTACTAGGGATAAGCAAAAAAAAAAAAACTATTTTCCCCAGTGCTCTATACATTGATTTAGGATCTTTGCAATGGCACACATATGGTTATCCTGCCCATTCACAGGCCTTTAGGGTAAACCTGGGGCTTTGCCCAGGTCACTCGGCTAGAAATGCAGTTTTTAGTGAGGTCTATTAAATGAATTTATCCCTTTTATGTTATCTTATTTTCTATATTGAAAAGTTAATAAATATGAAAAAAAAATTAAAAATGTTTACGAATATTATTAAAAAAGAATCATAAAGATATTTTAAAGGAGTCCTTTAGGGATGTCTGTTTTTGCACTTATGATTCCAGAGTTACATGGTCCAGAGGGCCGTATGAAAATCGAGTTGTTCATATAATAACATGTTTAAAAAATGATATTTTCTTTTAATGTAATCTATATAGCTTGAAATAAATAAAAATAATGGCTGCTTGAACTCGGTCGCATGTGACATTTTACAGGTACATTGGGACAGCTGACATTCCCCCCCCACCCAACCCACTGATAAATAGGCAAGAAGGTATGGGAAAAGATCCCAGTAGACGCGAATTCGCGTTGGTAGCCTACAATTTTATGTTAATTTTTAGAAATCAGGGACATGAATTCGCATCCTTTAGGCTTGACACCCTATAAGTGAGGATATGAATTTGCATTATATGGGTTCAAAATGTTTCGTTGCTCGCATCTATAATACCTTTTTTTTAGTAAAGTTGTAAGTAAACATCAATCGTCGAAATTTGCATTTTAAAATGGTTGAATTATCAGAAGTGGTGAATAATTAATATTGTCGAATTACCGTTTGTTATTTGATAGGCCAGAGATTGGGAAATCAAATCAAGGTCGAATTATCGCAAGGGGTCGAATTATCGGTATTGTCGAATTACTGTTTGTAATTTCATAGGTTCTGGAAATCAAAACATGGTCGAATTAACGAATTTATACTTAGAAAGTATTTTTACTTATCCTTACTTGAAATGCTGCTTCTAGGAAATCTGAATATACCCATTGCGATTTTTAAGCCACCATCTATACTTTTAAAGTCTCTGCAGGCCCTTTGGGTAAACCCTGGGCGTTGCCCGGGTCACTCGGCTAGTTATTAAATATTATAACAAAAGATTCTCTCTCTCACACAAACATTTCGATTAAAATTTCTTAATCGTGAGATAAAAGATCAATTCTTATTTCCATACTTTATGATATTACATAAGGCTCATATAAGCCAGTCAATATTTATGTAAAGAGTACAGTTGAAATTTCCATATTCTACCGCTAAAATAAATAGCTCTCGCGGGGGCTTTATTAGTTTTTCTTGGTGCCGTTCTGAGTTATGCAATAATACGTCCATGTGCCCCATATTTGAAAATTAGCATTCTATAGTTTTACTTCTACTAATATGTATTGTAAGGTCGTCAAATAATCAAGATCAAATATCTCCTCTCTATTTCTATGTACAGTATATAATTCTATGTGAAAGAGAGAAAATAAGAAACCTTTATTAATTCATATAGTCAAAAGTGAATAATTATTTATAATATTAAAAGCAGTATTTACATTTAAATATATTTTCTAAAAAATAGCAATCCACATTTAAATCATTAGATAATAAAAGGCATTAAAATATACAGTTATCAGCGTCATAATCAAGCAACAATTCTTAATCAATTCTGTCACCGTTTGCTTTGTGAATGGAATAAATACCCAAATATGGCCATTTCTCATAACCATCGGTGGTTCAGTGGTAGAATGCTCGCCTGCCACGGGGGCGGCCCGGTTAGATAACCGGCTGATGCATTTTTTTTTTTAGAATTTTTAAAACTCATTTATATATTATACAAGAATGACATCAACGGCGCCAATTTATAATTGTAACGAATAGTATTTGAATAAAAGCATTTAATAGGGTAAAACCCGGGCGTTGCCCGGGTCATTCGGCTAGTATATTATATTGAATAAATATTGGCAAATAAATATTTTATTCAATTCAATATATGCCTTTTTATTATATAATAATTTAAATGAATATTTGAGAATTAATCGAAAAAGTTTATTTATCACAAAATAAAAGTTCAGTTTAACGAACAATCCCATATATTCTGCGAAATTCTATACAATTTATGAATAGAATTTTATTTCGCTACATATAAGTAATTAAATCATACGAATCCTCTAAGATGGTCGTCTGGAAAATATCCGTGGATGCAAGCCACTCATAAGGTGCGAGCCTCTAGTAGATCGTACAGGTCTTGTCTTCGAGTTTCCAAATAGAAATTTTGATAACTTGTTCAAAACGGATATCTGTGGGGAATAGATATAGACTAATGTGGGATTAGATCCCGGGTCGTGGTTGTCAAAAACCGACAGCTTGTACCATTCTTCCAACAAAATAATCCATTTCAGTGATTACTTGCTATACTAATTGCTGTACCCAACTTCATAGGTTACTAGACGAATGATCCGGCTTCGCCCGAGAATTCCCCCGAGTGAAATTTTCTTCATACTGAAAGTACATCAATAATAAATAGTAGAAGTGCCATAGAATAGAAATACAGAAGTAACACAAACCACAGGCAAAAAGTGTGTGTGATGTCAAAATTGTATTATATTAGTGTTTAGGCATTTGATTTAATTATTTTTTTGCTATCCATTTAGTTGCTGCAAAATCAATATAGTTTGAATAGATGGCAGCTTTTCCACCCAACCCCGAAGTACCCGCCCCAGCGCATTAATCCTTGAGATTGCTTGAGTTGAGTGAGTGACTACCATGGATCTTGACTGCGATGCCCATCTTCTCAGTAAGAATAAGAAGAAAAAAAGGTTTATAAACATTTTCGGCAAAAAATAAAGAGCACATGGAAATTAGGCAAACATGTGTTTGCTAATGACTGCGACTGCATTTTAAACATTTTTTTAGAGATAAGGAAAGTAAGAGTAAGAAAGTAAGTAGATAAATAAAAATAAACCTTTCAAATGAATTTAAAGGAATTATTTTTCATATGTTGACGTGAAAAAAAGCTTATTTTTATCGAAGTGTTGTTTTGAAATTGGTTCATTAATAAAGCTATTTGACAAGAATATTTCCAGAAAAATATGAAGATCCAACCTTCTCAAAAACTGTCTTCTTCATAAAAAATTACTAATCTAAAAAAAGTAGTCGATTTTTAAATCCTTATATTAATATTGTATATATATATATATATTAAAAATAAAGAAGGCATCTCCTGACCACGAGCACATGTGCTTTTCAGATGGCAATCTTGTAAAGCACATGTGCTCGTGGTCAGGAGATGCCTTCTTTATTTTTAATATCAACACCTGACCCACTTATCTTTTATTTTTTTATTTTTTTCTATTGTTTTTTCATACATATATATATATTAGCGGATGTGTACCCGGCTTCGCCCGGGTTTTATCCGAGTGAAAGTTTGCCTAACGAATATTATTGATGATAATATTCGGGAACACACAGAATATTGTGATAATAATGATAATATAATTCGTTACGTCATATATTTATATAATATATGAAATTTACTTTTCGAGCAAACATATCCACTCTCTACTGAATAGATTTTTAAAAAGATATACATAAATGAAAATATCTAGAGATATACTACATGATCTTAGCCAAAAGGCCGAGAAACGATATTTTATATATAGAGATGACCTGGCTTCGTGTGTCTTCTGCTCGAGTGAATGTTTCGCTGGTAGAATTTTGTTCCTGCCTACTA